TGGTTCTCGGAGCTCACCAGGGATGGCGCACTCCAGTTCAAAAGCGCCACTACGCAAATGCTGTCTTTTGCCACCTGGAAGGTCTGAGACAGGCGGCGCAGGATTCCATCGATGCGCGCCACACCGTCCTGTGGGCTGCCATGGCAAGCCAGAGTTGCCATCCACTCCCGGCTAGACTCTTGGAAGCACGCCTTGGCTTGGCGGAAAGCCTCCTGCTGCCTAGCAAGTTTGTGCTGCAGCTCAGCGTGATACACACTGGCTTCGTGATCCTCGCACTTCAGCAGCCAGTTGGCATACGCCTTGATGTCGTGCCTCAGCTTGGCAAGGGCTTGGCAAGGGTCAATTATCACGAGGCTCAGCGCTGAGTAGGCAAATGACAGCCACAATGAAACCAGCTTGCTACAGCACTCAAGGCACTCAAACATCTTCAGCATGAGCGAAAACTCCTCCCGCTCTAGCTCACCAGCCACAATGGACCTTTTCTCGGATTCAGTCCTGAACTTGCCCTCAGCACTGGCAGCATGACCTTTCATAAGCTCCTTGACCACCGTCAAACCAGCCGAGGTCCAAGAGGCGGAGCGCTCAGCCAATGCCACCTGGAGCTCCATCTCGAGGTTACGGTTCCCAGCCAGCAGCTTCTCGCTGAGAGAAGTTGCCGCAACTCCCTGCTCTGCCAAGTCGTCCTGGACAGCCTGCAGCAACTGGCACAGGTGCGCTGCTTCCTGCAAGGCCTCCTTGGAAAGCTTTGCCCGGTTACCTGGCAGTAGCCGCCGGTGGGTGGCATCCACAAACCGGATCATCATCACAAAGCTCGCGGCGGTCTGAGTCAACCTCTTGCTGCTTGCTCCAAATCTTGTCCCCCGTCTTGGTCACAGCACCCACCTGGATGGCCTTGTTGGAGAAGGCCTCCTGCAACGCAACAGATTTTGCGAGCGTGGCAGCAATAATTCATTCTAACTTTGAGAAGTAGTGGGTGGGTGGCCTGGTTTGGTAGCCTGTTACTATTTCCAGAAACAACTACCTATCACTACCCCAACTGCCGTCCTCTGCGAAGGCAGACTGCGAGCCAAACTCAGACGTGTGCTTCAGAAGCAACTCAGCCGTCCCAGGTGGTGCTGACAGCAGGAAGAGCAACGCGACGCGCTTCTGCCCAGCAAGCTGTGACTCCCTGGTAGCCTCCATGTTCCACGCCTTGATGGCAGCATCCGCTTTGAAGCCCTTGGTGCAGAGAAGGCTGAGCTTTGATAGCCATGTTGGAACATCGTGCGCTCGACGAATCGAGCCTCTTGATGACAGCGCGGCATTTGCCTAAGTCCAAAGGGCATGACATCAACGACCACAACTGACAACAGGTTCAAGTCAGTCAGTCACAAAGACCCAGCGTTTTTAAATTAACTCACACACGCAAAGTACAACTTTGCAATTTGGAAGATAGGGCACGAATGCAACCCGCTTGATGTCTGTGCTCAATGTTGCGCGGCGGGCCCAAATGACCCGCATGGACTCAAACAAGGCCGGGTGCAGGATCTCCAGCTTCCACTCACACTTCATCGCCAGAGATGCCAGGAAAAGAAGGGTACCACCACCCCCTTCACATAGTGCACCCACCCAGAAGGCCCTTGACTGGACCCCTGCGGGCCCGACCACAGAAGAATCGGGTCGCCTGGGCAGCAAGCCACTGAGCTCACAAACGCAGTGTGATTATGGATCCTGCTGACCGACAAGAAAACTTTCAAGAAAACCACACGCATTAAAGTTGCTCTCAGAGATGAAGCTGTTGCACAAGTACTCATCTAGCAGGCTGATGGCCGTGGTGAGGTACGGCGCGGGCTTAGTGCTTGACTCAGGACTGAAAGACAAGTCCGACAGCTTGAGGCAAAACATGGTTGAGTCATCCGCAGGGAGTGATGTCACGAAGTTGACATCTTGCCGTGTCGTGCTGAACTCAAGGCCCAGCGTCGCAGCAAAGCTGTTGGTGTCAGGATGGGCCTGCTGAAGGTATTGCTGGGGCCCACCAAAATGGGACAGCAGCTTCTTGCCGCACTCAAAGGCGATCTGCTTGAAGTTCTCTGGTGTGGCTGTTGCTGCTTCTGAAAAAAGAGCAGCCAAAAACTCAGCCTCAGATGTGCCAGCAAGACTGGCCGTGAAGAGGTCAACCTCCATCTTTGCCAGCTCCATCTTTTCGGGGGTCCCATCCGCCTCCGACTCCCCCTTGACTCCATCTGAGCCGCTCCTAAGCGCAGCAGGTTCAACTGGCAGCGCGAGCATTGCTGGCCCTCCTGGCCCTGAAATGGAAAGCCAAAATCTACGGTGGAGAAAAAAGAATCCGCACAATCCCGATTTCACATGAGCGCACGGTCACAGCACAGCCCAAGCTGAGATTTACAATGGCTTGACAAACCACTCAGACTGGGAACCTGGCCCATGGTTGGCCAGAATGCGGATGAGGTACTTCCCAGGCCTGTGCTGCAGTCTCACAGACTACTCACAGTCTCACCCAGGCAGAGCGGAATTCACCAATCAGCCACTTCCTCAGTCAAATGACAGGTGACAGTCCATCAGTCAGTTTGCCCAAAACCAGGCTATGTACCCCCCCCCCAAAATGGGGGGGGGTAGATCGCTCGGTTTCGGATGAAACCAGGCTACCCCCAGGTTCCTGGAAACCAGGAGATCTCACCCCCCTCAATTTGGGGGGGGGTACATCTCCTGGTTCCGGGGTATGTGCCCAAAGATCGCTCGGTTTCGGATGAAACCAGGCTATGTCCCCCCCCCCAAAATTGGGGGGGGTACATCTCCCGGTTTTGGCAAACGCTGGCTATTACTTTCCTGCCCCAATTCTCCAAGAAAATGGTCGTATTGAATTTAACCTCAAGGCTGGCCAGTGACTCAGTCACACTTTTCCTCAAGCCGCCGGGAGCCATCAGAAGGCTGATTACAGGCTGACTGATTCGAGCTTTGTCACGTTCCCTTGCAATGTTGCTGCAATCTTTGCATTGCGAGCTCCAGGCTGCTCAGGCTATACTCGATCAGTCAGTCCCTTGCATGGTGCAGAGCTGCAGCCGCAAGCAAGCAGCAAAACTCGGCAGTGTACTTCTGACAGTGCTTGCTAACAGGCACACCGTTATGACTGCCTTGTACGTGAAAGTGCTGGGCAGTGCATTTGCACTGACGATCCTGAAAGAGCTCTACAATCTTGTCACTGTTGGTCATTAAAGTAGTTCGTTTTTTGATCGGGTGAGTTTCTCCCGGGGCCGCCAATCCCACAGCGCACTGGTCAAAGGAGACAAGCTTGGTCTCGGGGAGTGCTGCCATCCTCTGAACCTAAACAGCATGTGGGTTTGAATCCAAATACTTTCGAAACCCTGGCAGTGCATCATGACAGATACATCCATCTTTAAAAGGGAATCTGACTATTGTGCCTTGTGGCACACGCCTGTGTCCAGCTCGATGCTTTCCAGGGATGCTCATGACACCAAATGCGGTTCTCATGGTGCTGGATCCAAGCCATATCCATGCCGAAGGCCAAAAGGGAATCAGCTTCTGCTTGGCGCAGTTCACCTGCGCCGGCCATGCGAACATTGCAAATTGAACCTACCACTGGCTGGTTGAAGGCAAATAATTTCAAATTCAGCTGTGGCTCGGACTTCAATTGTCATCTTGTGTCTGTTCCACAGGCGCATCAGCTCAGAATACATCGTAGCTCATCAACATGCGGGGCTTGAGCACGCGCTGGCAGCGCAGGACATGCCCCCTAGCCTGCCAAGTCAGGAGGTCGTGGCCTGACGAGATCAAAGGAGCCACCAGAGGTCAGACCAACCCTGGGTGGACTGAAGACCTCCATGAAGTGGCACGGAAAGGATGCGCAATCATCCTCAATGGTCAAGTCCTGGTCGGCGTCCTCTGCGGCACTGCTGCTGTCACCCTCAACTGCCACGGGGGAGGTCCCGGTGTCATCACTCACCGACATGACATCGGATTCAGCGGACATTGCTGGTGCTGGGGGCGGCTATAATCAAAGTAAAGCACCATCATGCGAACGCAATGAATGGACAATGACAAGCACATGACAGGAATATCACAATGCCACTGTGCCAGCCGGAGTCAGCTAAAATAGCTGCGGGTCAATGCCAAGTCTGTAATCTCAAGCCTTCTCTGCAGCAGCTGGCAACGAAAGATCTGAGACTGGAGCCCACGTGGAGGGCTGATGCCAACGACCGACTACGGAAAGTCACTCAAGCTGATTGATTGTGTCTGATTCAAACACAGCAGTGGACAGTGTCACAGTGCAGGTGAATGGACTGACGCATTTTTTGCAATGGCATCCTACGCCAAGTCTGTAGTCTCAAGCCTTCTCTGCAGCAGCTGGCAACGAAAGATCTGAGACTGGAGCCCACGTGGAGGGCTGATGCCAACGACCTGGGCCGACTACGGAAAGTCACTCAAGCTGATTGATTGTGTCTGATTCAAACACAGCAGTGGACAGTGTCACAGTGCAGGTGAATGGACTGACGCATTTTTTGCAATGGCATCCTCAGATAACATCGGGCCCGGCGCAGTCAGGCAATAATCGGTACGTTCCAACAAGGCGCCGGTTCCATTCAAGGCGCCGTGTCACAGTAATGATAGTAAATAGCTCAGCGCAGCCACTGTCGCTGTGGGCAGTGCACAGTACAGACATTGACATTGACACGCAGGAAGTCTTAACCTTTTCAGAAAGCCTTTGTAAGGTTAAACGCTGCCCCAAGTTCCACACAAAAAGCATTCTCCCTGAGCCTGGTGGTTAGGCGCTGAAAGAGCAAAATTTGTCCATCACGATGCTTGTGCAAACGGAAATGAACTCACTTTGGCTTTGAACTAATTCTTTGTCCGCAAAGTTGCACAATGAGCCACGAGGTGGACACACATGATGGCATTTCACTGCGCTGCTGCGTTTTTTGTGAAGCAAATTGACACTTTGACACGACAATGTGCAACACCACTGGACTGCAGCAGCTGGCAGTGGATGATTCCCCGTCTGGGGCCGCCCGGGCTTTGAGTCAACAAGCCAAATCTGACAGATTTTTGTGGCACTAGAATGCCATCAAATGATTAAAATATATTTGCTCAACTCCAAGCCCTAGCAGCGCCTCCAAACAGTCTACTTCCTGTAAGCTGAGGCCATTGGCAAGCCTGCACGCTTGACAGCCTATCTGCGATTTGCGGCATTTGGAGCAGCCCAAAACTACGCCCGGAGGCAACTCAACTGTGACACCTCTCTGGCCGTGCAAGATTCGAACGTCACCTCTCAGGGACACCCAGACATTAAATAAACAACGTCAATAAGCAACACCACGACAGTAATCAGAAAACATATTCAGCAAAACATATTCGTCAATAAGAAAACATAGTTTGAGCCAACTCGGCCTGGCAGAGCTTGAGCTGGCAGATCTGGAGGCGCCGGGACTGGCTGGACTGCAGCTGCTGGACGCTTCATTGAAGCAGCTGAGGCTGGCCGCTTCACCTTCTGACCTCCGACTCCCGCCGGCCCACGTCGCCCTGGATCACTGCTAGCTGCATTTGCGTGTTCTGAGCCGGCGTCAGATGGCAAAAAGCACGCGGCAGCCAGATGACCACGGGAGCCTGGCGCACACGCAAAAGAGACACGCATTCAATGATCCAATACCTTTGAGCAGACATGTCGTGAAACATGACGGCAAGAAAGCGGGAGCCAACCGAAAGTCCTGGAGGGCCGGGCCAGGGACTTGGCAACCCAAGCCCTGGATAGCAAGTTCTTTAAGCAAGGGTTGGAGCTGAGCTTCGCACTGAAGACCCACCGTCTCTGTTCGGTCACACTGTCTGCAAAGGAATGTGACACAGCATTAGTTCCGCAGTTTGACAGAAGGCAGCATAGCGCTCTGGGCCGCAGACCCAGTCTATTAGTCCTGCCTGGAATGACGCACACGGTCATAATAACTCATCACCAGCAGCAAGTCAGGCACCGGACCCACCACGTACTCGAGGACAATGATGAATGGTGCCAGACCTGAGGCAAGGCTAAGCCACCAATGCAGCTCAGCATGCTCACGTAAAGCTAAATGCAATGTTTTTCTTGGGCGGCTGCTCAGGGGTCCCGTGCAAAATCGTTTCCATTTGGTGATGACTGGCTAATCAAGATCTGGGCCACTCCACAGCTGTTTGGATTGCCAAACTCCTGAGTAAAGCAAGGTGAAAGCCAAGTCCTGGAGTCCAGGACTTGGCTGCCCAAGTCCTGGACAGCCAGGACTTGGAACCTAAGTGCCCAGGCCTGAAAACACAGTAGTGAGTACCGCCAGATGACCACGGGAGCCTGGCGCAGACAATGACAACTCAAGTCAAACTTCAACTGGCCGCAGGCTTTTGCTAAGCTTAGCACTTCATGTTGCTCAAATTTCAAAGTGCTTGTTTTCCAACCCGAAGCACAAAACAGCAAGACATGGAAATAAAACCATTGGATCTGAGCAACTGACTGCAGGGCTATTTGCGCTGGACCGGCCTGGGCGCACAAGACCATGAATGTCAGCAATCACTTGCATGCATTCTTTGGCTCTACATTCGGAGAGCACACACAAAAATGAGCACAGCAATATTGACAGAGCGGCTCCCTGTTTTCCTTCCTGGTGTCGGCTCATGAGGACAAAACGTCGCAGCCACATGGCGGGCCTTCCAGCCACAATTCCAGAGTGTTACTTGCTGGAACAATGTAGCACACAGAAGTTTGATGCGAGTCATGGTGCAGTGCAGGGTGCACTGTGCAAGGGTGGCTGGAATTGCCCAACCTGGTCTGGCCCTGGTTTCGTTGAATTATTGGCCTTAGCCTGGAACCCTCCGGGAATGACATGAGCGCAGCAAGATTGAGCGGCTCCCTTGAGCGGAGTCGGCTCGGAAAAAACGTCGCAGCCACATGGCGGGCCTTCCAGCCACTTACAGACAGAGTTTCTTGCCGCAACAATGTGACACGCAAAAGTTTAATGCCAGTCATGGTGCAGATCAGTGCTGTCATTAAGGGTGGCTGGAATGGCCGCAACCTGGTCATTGACATGACCTGGCCAGAACCCTCAAAAAACACAGGCTGACACACTTGGTTGCTTATTTGGTTTTTTATTTGTTTGGGTGGGGTGTGCTGCAGCACACTGGGATTCTCAGCCCTGAAAGAGGGACACCAGGTCATGTCCTGTGCTCAGAGCCCCTGATAACCACCATCACCGCCTTCAGGAAGTGGTCGAACTGCTTGTCCACATACAGGGCCTCCTTGCCCTTGCTTATGTTCATGTGGCCAAGGGCGGCCAGGAGCGCGCAGCATAGCGCCTTTGTTGTTGCAGAATCAATTGGATGTTTCATTTACGCGCACCAAAGAAAAACACACTGGGCATTCATCATAACCAAAACGCTGATGGGTTGGGGCCTGGCTGCTGGGGATCTGTGGACCCCGCCATTGCAGTGGATGAACACCAGCCTGGACTTCTGCACCTTGTCCAACACGTCCTGCCACCTGGGCATTTGACCAGGGCTTGTGGAAGTGGTAAGTCCATTCAACTCCCGTGTTTGTTCACGGGCATAGCAAAAATGTTACTCACAGCCAAGGCAAGCTTCAGCGATGTCTTGAATTGCGCGTCCTTGTGGCGAAGAATCCAGTTGGGGTTCGCAGTGACCACTTGAAGATGATGGGGCCTGGTCTTGAGCAGGGCATTGGCTTGCCTTGGTCGAGGAAAACAAAGCAAAGTAGTAGGCCCCTACAACTTCAGCCCATTTAGCTAAACATTGCACACTTGCTATAAGGCAAAATCAACAGAAAGTGTTGCAATCTGTGAGGCCCCAGGAACTTCTGACCCTGGAAGTCCCGGAGTACCGTGCACGCGCTCGGGGCTCCGCCGACAAACACTGCCCTTCCTTCAAAGAACAGTGGCCGCAAGTTGCGGACGCCCGTCTCCACGAGGCGTGAGTACCACTCCCATGCCTCTCCTTCTTCGTCCACCACCTGGACCTCCTCAACTTTCTCCTCGTCAATCTGCTCGTCGTCCTCCACCAACTTCTCCTTCATTGCGCCACTCCCACTCCTCCTCGGCCTCCTCCTGAGGCTCTGCCGCCCATTCGCCCTCATCCACGGCCTGGTCCGCCTCGTCATAGTCCTCCGCCCGCTCGTCATAGGGCTCCTCATACTCTTCCTCCACGGCCACTTCGGATTCGGCGGCCTCGGACTCGTCGTGCTGCTCGTTGTCAGGAGCCTGATCATCTTCATCATAATAGTGCTCCTCCAGCTCTTCCTTCTTAAGCGCTCGGGCCAACTGAGGCTGATCTGGCTGGAGAATTGGCTGGGGATGATCCCCTGGCTGAGGATGGCCTGGCTGAGGATGGCCTGGCTACTAAGGGTCGTGGCGCAATGCCTTCCGACGCCCCTTCAGTCTTAGCCTTGTGCAGCTGCACGCGCTTGGCATCCTGCAGCACAGCAAGAAGGCAATACATTTTGCATTACTTTCAGGCCGCGACACAATGGCATTCTAGATTCTAAACTTGAGTTGGCGTCATTTCAAAAGGAATAATAATAGCATACTAACCAATGATGGCCAAGGCACACGCCTGAAGTCTGCCGGCGACTTCCGCTTGAAGCCCTTTGGCTTATCTCCAAAGCCGCCACCGAAGTTGCAGCCGCTGAAGGTACAGCCACTGAAGCTCATTGGTCTGACACCGAAGCCTGCGAAGCAGCCGGCGCAGTGACTCTGAAGCCCATGGGGCACACGCGGACCTGAAGTTTGAAATTTGGGTGCCTAAAGTGTGCGTGTGCTGGCAGTTGGTGTGCGTTTGGTGCCTGGCTGTTGGTGTGCAACTTGTCAGTTGAATGCACCATATTGTATCAATGGCCACCGCCCCCTTGGCTGCAGGTGAGAGAGCCACATGCGCCAAGTAGTGAAGGAGCACACAGCAGGAGAAATGTCTGACAAGAGGTGATTGTGGCACATGTCACTTCAAACTCTGGCTGGCTGAATAGCAATGAGGTTCAGGCCCACTGAGCATGAAGAGCGCCAACGCCAAGCCAGCGTCAGCTGCAGCCTGAGCGAGCACATGAATGCTGCAACTCGAAAAAATGAGTGCAGCTGAGCACAGTGCCCACTCTAACTGACTCCCTTGCAACTGCCTTCCGGAAAGCTTGACGGAGGCATGGGCTTGACATGAGAACCAGGCTGCCACAGAGATGAACAAGTATGTCTGCATGTGCAATAAAAGAGCCCTGACAGGAATGAGACCCTTCCAAAGAGAATTGCAGGCGGGCAGCAGAGTGAGAAACAAGAGCTGTGGACAGCAGACAGAACAAGGCAAAGACACTCGAAACAAAATCTGCCCAATGCCAAGCCAAAGAACGGCAGCCCAGACTGTGGGCAGCCAGCAATCACAAGCTGCAGCGAGAACCGCGCAATAATGGCTTGTTATTCTTTTCCAACCCCTCGCAAGTTGGCAGCAGCAACAAAGGCCAGCGACCAGAATGCTATAATATTGTGAGTGTGCGCAACATGATCTTCATGCAACTGCAAACATGATATTCATCCAGCTGCAGGTCCTGGGACGGCTTGCAAAGCTACAACTGCAAATCCAACAGATCGGCAAAAGCAAAATGAAGGGATCAGGTGTGCCTGCAGACAAGAAAGGCCCCGGCATTCTGTGCAAGATGATGATGATGGCTCAGTGGATCATGGCACAACATTGCATGGGAAGAAAAAGAACTGTCACCATGACTTGATGCCTGCAACAAATGAGCTCAGTATTCCTGAGCAATCCTTAGCACTGGGTTGACGCTGGCTCAGTGCCTTGCCTTGTGCAAAGTCAGTTATTGGCGCCGGACCGATCCTGAGTACTGTCAACTCCCTAGTCAGGCGCCTGAATAACGTTTAGTGACAGCACGCAAACACACCACGACAACGCTGACCACAAGGGTGAGGCAAAGACTGAGTGGTTGGAAACTAACCTTAAAAGGTTGCCGGCTGGTTGCAGAGGGAGGCCTGTGGGAGAGGGGCCTGGTTCTCCAAGGCATGGTCTTCAACGCAAACCCTAAGTGAGACCAACTCCTGGTCATCCAGGGGTTGGTCTCCTGGCCATCCAGGAGTTAACAAACTCACACAGACAAGATCTTAGCAACTGCGCGCCTTATGGCTATGACAGAAATTGCGAGACCCCTTCAATGGCACAACAAAAAGCTATTGAAAGGAGTCGGCCTGTCGGGCTCATAAGAAACTCACAACCATGCAACATACGTTGGTCCACACACACAGTGTTTATCGGCCAATGGTGGCTGCAGCAAAACCTTCACGGAAGGCAGACTGGAAGAAAATACACAAGAGTTTCCATGAATAAACAAGGACTCATAATCAAGCAAAGGAAAGGTCATCAAAGGTTCTTCGCTCGCGACAGCAAGTTGGTTCAGATCGAATCGAGGCCGTGCCTTGTCGTCCAAGAGGCGCACCCGGAAAAACAAATAGCACCTTCCAGTGCTTGAGGGGCCCAGACCTGCACCTTTCGGTGCTTATTATTAAGCACCTTTCGGCGCTGCACCTTTCGGTGCTTAGTACTAAAAAGCACCTTTCGGTGCTTAAAGCACCTTTCGGTGCACTAGTTTAGTTAGACCCCAGAGCCCAGCTGCAGACTAAACCTTGGACTCGGCAGGTTCCTGGCCGAAGAAGTTGAGGACCCCTTCTGACAAACAGGGCGCATGCTGCATGCCAGGACGCCATGCCAAACAAACCCATAACTGTCATCGAATCTCAAAACTATGTTTGCATACTTTCCTACAAGCAGCCCAATTTCATTACGCCTACTGACTTCTGAGCAAACCAACCTACAATTACTGTCCGCCCTGCCCCCCCCCCTGCCACTGGCAAATTACTGTTGGACCAACATGTATGAACTTTTTGAACTGTTTCATCCACAAATCATGCTCGAGATTCCTTTGGGGAGCCTCGTTGGGGTGTTGAGGAGGTTGGGCATCTTCGGTGGGTTTTTGATGAGCTTTGCCCAGGACAAGGCATGTTCAACACTTCCACAGTATATCAGTTTTTGTGCAATGTAGCCGCCATGCACCAACTATTCAAATTTTAAGTTAGTTTGTAATATGTACAAAATTGGTTTCTATACAGATGATACATACATTACACATTTATACATAAAAACATAAATGTTTGTATCCAAAAACAGTTGAGTGCAGCAAAACAAACGATTATAATTCATAAATACCATGTGTTCCATGCATTAAATCAAAGGTCAAAAGCAAAACACATATTTACTTTGATGCATTTTTCCTTTGCTTGAGATTTGTCCTTTTTTCCCACAGAAAAAAACACAAATAGCCAGACAAAAAACACAAATAGCCAGGCAGACCCTTAAACCCTGCAAAGAACGAAGTCCCCCCCCCGAAACTTGGGAACTGGGCCGCTTTTGCCCACTTTTTCAGCCCAAAAGTGAGCGGTGACGAAGCGGTGACGAGCTCGGCGGGATGGAATTTCCCTGCTTTTCCAGGCTGAAAACGGAATCCAGAGCACAGCGAGCGTCTGGAGCCTGTTTTCTACCGAAAACGAGCGAGTCTGGAGGCTCAGGCGCCACACTTGACGTCTGACACGAAAAACGAACTTTTCGGAGTTGGCCGTTTTGAGCGCTTTTTGCACCAAAAACGGAGCGGTGACAAAGACCGGTGACATCGGAAAAACGTTTAGCTGGATGGAGAATTCGGCTGTTTTGCAGGGTTTGGGGACCAAAAAAACAAAATAATTAGGGTAGTATAGGCCTTCTTTCCTTACTACTAGAGCTCGCAGCACATGATTGGCAAATGTCTCAATCACATTTGCCGCAACGCCATGTGGCAGACTGCACATGCTGCAAGCACTTGTCACATACAATGCGGTCTGTGGTGGCCACTGCCGCCCGGCAGATGGCTGGCTTGGAGCGGTGGAAGTTGGTCTGGGGGCGTGTCCTCCAACAAGCTCTCGAACTCCTTCTTTGCATCTCAGGAGTTTCCATCGGGCGCTCGCTTTTTGGGTGCAAAAGTGCGCAAAACCGGGCCCAGTTCCCGAGCTCCTTCTCCGCAGGGTTTTTCGCGGCCCGACAGCCCGCCGAGGACCAGACTCGGAGTCCGACAGCCCGCCGAGGTGGTCCGTCAGCCCGCCGAGCTTGTCACCGCTGAAGTCACCGCTCCGGCTCCGTTTTTGGTGCAAAAAGCGCTCAAAACGGTCGAGTCCGAAGAGTCCGTTTTTCCGTGTTGGACGGCAAGTGGGATGTCTGAGCCTCCAAATTCGCTGGTTTTCGGTGGAAAGCGGGCTCCAGACGACCACTTTGCTCAGTTTTCCGCTTTCGGCCCGGAAAAGCGGCGAATTCCAGCCCGCCGAGCATGTCACCGCTTGTCACCGCTTTGTCACCGCTTTGTCACCGGGCCGAAAAGTGCGCAAAAGCGCCCCGAGAGGACTCGGTTGTTGGCAAGTTTGAGTCAATACTGGAACCGGGTGATT